ACCAATTAATGTTGTTGGTAGAATGCAAACCTACCTTTAAAAAAAATAAAGATTTAAGAACATTTCAAAATGTAATATTGTTGGTTATTCTTAGTCTTAATAATCGTTATATATCAGTTCACTAGAAATTGGGACTCAATTTTCGTGTACCCCACCCACTTTAGGAATGTCAGAATTCACATTCTTACACAATAAAACTAAAAATAAGGGTACAATTAGTAAGTTGTTGATCAGGTCTTTGTAATATATTGTAAAAATATTCATTTTCACCACTATGCCTTGACTGATAGGAAAAAATGCCAGCCCCATGTCGATTTTTGATACTTTTTCATACTTTTTTAGCAAAATTTCTCTATGAAAACAAGAGTATATGTATAAGAAAATGGAAAAGGACCCTTTTTCATATTGTTTCAATAGGATGTGAAGTTTTAACATCACCTGTACCAAAATGAATATAAAAAAGAACTAATTTTTTCATATAAATTGCGTATTAGCCATTTTTCAATAATTTGGCGGCCATCTTGACGGCCATCTTGGATTTCTCAAAACGTACCATGATTTGACATGTCTACCCAAATTTTTTGTAAACTTCAAACATTTAGCTTTACATTGGTGTAACATTTATCCATGGACCTTTTTTGCACACAAAAGGTCCCCAGGGACTGTACTACTTTAAAGTCTATTTGTTTTGATTTTTTTTTTGTTTGTTTGTTTTTTTTAATGCTAGATCTACTATTAGATCTAGATCTACCAAGTGTATTAAAGACATTGATACACGTCAGCGTAGGGCCGGAAGGTGATAATCGGCCCTGAATGAATAATGACCCTCGAGCTAAAGCCCTCGGGTCCATTATTCATTTTGCGGGCCGATTATCACCTTCCGGCCCTCTCCTGCCGTGTATTAACCTCTTAGTAATTGGTTGATGCTCGCGATTATGCGATAATGGCCCAAAGATGTGCATAATGGCCTGAGGGCCGCAGGCCCGAAGGACATTATGAACTCGAGGGTCATTATCGTATAATGGCGAGCAGCAACCAAGTGTTAACGTCTTTAATTTAATATCTATGTCCGAAATACGGCGTTTAGACATCGTCGCTTATCTTGATTATCGCATTTTCTAAGAACGGACAGTTGTATACAAATGTTATTATACAGTTTAACACTCCGATTAACATAGGAAACAAAACAACAGAAAATAAATATGAGAAAATGATGTTTTACTGGTGTTTTTTTATCGATTAATACAGTACTCTTAACATTTTTGTGAGAATAACATTTATATCTAGTGCCAGTTTTTTATGAACTTTTGTCCTTTCAAAAACGGTTTCTTAGACTAACGGTTTTTTAGGGTTGATTACGTCATTTTGCACGTGCGCTCATTCACTCGCCCATTATGGAAAAAAATAATGCCGAGTAGCAAGGCGGCCGAAATTGCATAATGACCTAGATCTTGCCATAATGGCCCTGAAATAACAACAACAACAACAACATTTATTTAGCAATTAAGCATTACAATGCTTTTAGCCATAATATACATTTGACATAAGGTGACAAATGACACGAGAAATCATTAGCAATCAAATATTTTCTGCATAGAGAAGCTTACACAATAAATAAACTAGTTTGACATAGGTAAATTTAAATCGATACCAATATAATAATTATCAAATTTCTAAACTATTCCTTAATTTATTTGAAAAAAAATTATATATTTTGATAAGTTTAACAATTGTCTTTCATTATCTGTGGACATCAGTCTATCGAATTTATTAAGAGTTGTTCACCTACAAAAATATGGTTTGAAGTATTTTTTCCTTATTTCTCGATATATTGGGCAGACAAGAAGAAAATGATACTCATCTTCAATTATATTATCTTGGTTGCAAAATTTACATATTCTATTAGTTCGTTCTATATTAAGATATCTACCTCTTTCTATTTCTAAATTATGCGAAGATAATCTAAATCTACTTAAGGCAATCCGAAATTTCCTTTCACTTATTGAATTCAAATATGTTTCAAAGTTAAAAGATTGTTTAAACCTACAGTAAGTAAGTAAACGTTGTGAATTGTTTATGTTTGCATACCAAGCTAATAATAGTATTAGTTGATTTATTAACATATAAAAGTTTTCGACAGAATTTTGTATGAATAAGTTCTATATCTGTTCCTGCATTCATTCCCCAGACTTCTGAACAGTAGTTTAGTACAGTAGCAACTAGCGAATCAAACAATTTACTTTTTTCACTAGTAGAAAATCGTACTTATCAAAAATTGAAAATAGTTTATGTAAAGATTTAGATGCATGTTCTGCAATACATTTTTGGGTTCTATTCCAATTTGCATTTTTGAAAAAATATACGCCTAAATATTTAAAAGAAGTAACATTTTCTAGTAGAGTATTATAAAGGAAAAAATCATAATTTGTATGTCTACTGCCTTTTTCAAAAATCATAACCTTAGTCTTTGAAGTATTTATTTTTAGACCCCATGTATTACAATATATTTCAATATCATTTATCATTGATTGTAAGGATTCTGGTGATGTTGTAAATAACACCTGATCCTCTGCGTATAAAATTAAAAATAAAATTAAATCTTCATATGTGAATAATCCATCTAGATTAGTATTTATATTGTCAACAATATCATTTACGAACATCATAAACATCAAAGAAGAACTCGGGTCTCCCTGTTTCACGCCCAAGTGTGAGAGAATTGGCTCAGAGAGTCTATTATTAAACCTAATACGTAATCGAACAGTTCTATACATAGATTTTATTGCGTTTACCATTCTAGAGCTAACGTTTTCACTTAATAACTTTTGCCAGAGAAATGATCTATTTATCTTATCAAAACATTTTTCATAATCAATGAATACACTATATACTTTTTTACCAGAATTTAATAATTTTGAAATAACAGAATGCAAAATGAAAACACAATCGACTGTACTTTTCCCTTTTTGAAATCCGAATTGATTATTAGCAATTTTCTCATATTGTATAGTCCATTTAGTTAACCTATTTAAAAGTATCTGAGAATATATTTTGGCTATTATATTATTTAAAGTTACACCCCGATAGTTTTTTGCGTCAGTTTCGTCTCCGCCTTTAAATATTGGTATAATATATCCATCTCCCCAAGCTTCAGGGTAATCAGAATTTAAGAATAATCTATTAAATATATTAAGTAAGTATGGAGAAATGATATCATACGACGACTTAATAATTTCTGCGGATATACAATCGGGACCACATGCCTTAAAACTTTTTTGTCCATATACTGCGTTCCGAATTTCATTCTCGGTAATATCTTTATCTAAATTTTCATAAATATTGGTTTCTTGTCTAAATTCTGATTCTTGATCATTAGTTTCAGGTATTTCCCCAAAAAGATTATTAAAGTGATCGTAAAGTTCATCTATTTCTATTTTTTCTTCACAGCTGTTTTTACTTTTATAGCATTTTTTTATTGACTTCCAGAATGTACGCGGTTGTGTTTTTGCAATTTCTTCTAAACGTTTCGCTTCATTAATTTTAAAATTTGTTTTTGCTTTTTTCTTTATTAGATTGTATTTAGTTCTACTTTTGGTGAATTTTATTCTATTTTCATCAGTTTTATTTCTCAGAAATAAATTCCTAGCTATTTTAAATTCTTTTTTAGCCAAGAAGCATGATTCATCAAACCATTTCGACTTTTTATGTGTCCGAATTTGTATATCCGAAACAGGGACATCCTTTCCGAATATTTTCATAGCATTTGAATACAAATAGTTTGAAAGTGTCTCGGTCTGTGTTTCAACAGTATAGTTATCCCCAACGCAGGAATCTATGTCAGTTTTATTTGCAAGTAGAAGTTCTAAAAAATCTTTTACTTTGTCATTATCCCAAATTATATTGTTTTCAGTAACATTTTCTTTAACCCTGCTATATGTCTGATCATTAAATAGACGACATTTTCTATTAAAGGTAAAATATAAAGGTGCATGATCCGAAAATTCATTCCATTCTAGAATATCAAAATCAAAAATAAAACTATAATTCAAAAAATGTGATAAAAGATAATCAGTTACACTAAGTCCACGTGCTGAGCAGAAGGTAAAGTCACCTTTACCTTGATCTCCATGTATTCGACCAGTAAGTATGATATATCCTGTACTTTTACACATAGAAATTATTTTTTCCATTATTATCAATACAATTATCTTGATTTATACGTATTGGTATATTACTAATTTCAACCATTAAATCATCATCATCATCATTATCAATATCAAGGTATCTATCATACTCTAAAATATCATTTAAATCGGACGTTCTTGAATTGAAGTCTCCTATTACATAGACTTTTCCTAATTTACTATATTTTTCTATACCTTTTTCAATTTCTTCAAAAAAATCTACTTCTTTATGATTTAATACATTTGAGCCTTTCGGCGGAATATACAAATTACATAAAAATACATCTTCATTGAAATCAAAAACATCATGAGAAATTTTAAGCCATATAAGTCCATCATTGTTCTTTTCAATAACAGATATTTTACTTTTTAACTTATTACGAAAATATATTGAGAGTCCTCCACTATATCGACCTTTCTTAGTTCCTATGCTTTTATTACCAAAAATATGAACACTGCTATATCCTTCAATATCTATATTGTATGTATGTGTTTTACTAATCCATGTTTCGCTTAACAAAATTAGGTCAAACGAATTTATGTATTTAATAAATTCATCATCAGTTATCTTTCTCAATAAGCCAAATACCCTAGATTTTGTAACTATATATAGTATCATAGTTATAAATACCAATTATTGTATTGTTTTCAGAGCAAGGTTATTTTTCTACGGAAGCTCCTGGTGCCAATTCATAATGTCCATTAAGAAATCATTATGAATTGGCACGGGGATGCTTCCGTAGTTTTACCTTTTTCTCTGCCGCGTTTGCTATCATTCCATTTAATATTGTCAATATTTTTCATTTTGTTTTACAGATAACGGTTTCAAAGACAAAGATGCTGTTTTATTCAAACAACTCCTTGAGGTATTTGTCGAATTTCTCTCGTTTGATCTGTTAAAAGTTTTACTTACATTATAAAATTTACAATTTATGGCATGAGAGTCAAATCGTGTGACGAACTAAAGGTTTTAATATTCATGTTCTTAAAGACCTCTAAAGCATAAATAAATCGTGACGTTCGCGCTTGTCCGTTGTCTTAGAAGATAATCTTTGCCGTTAATTTAATTACATTTCTTCTGTATATTTCGTTTCAAATATTCATTAACACTTTTCTTACCAAACTTTCAAAAATTTTCTGTATTGTCATTTTGTTTGTAACACTGATACTATAAGTCATATCACGGTTTTCTGGCTATATTTGTTGATTGTTGAGGAAGGCATCATGTGCTGTTCGGTATCTGAGTAGAGTAGGCTTGTTGATTACTTTCCTAACACGGAAGACGACGTGATTTGATTTAAAAAGCGGTGAGAAGGAAATAACGTTAAGTCTGCCACCTAACCACTGGGCCAGAAATGCCCACATTTACAATAATTAAAAGGAAAAATGGCGAACAAGGAAGAAATATATTGAATTATAAATCTATTATCACAGGAAACGAGAAATTTACGTTACTTAAACCTCAGCTATAACTTGCTCCGGGAAGAGGGAGGTGTACTGCTGGGAGAAGCTTTGAGTTACAATGACAGCCTTGAGGAACTAGATCTGACTTGGAACCATCTGAGGCGTCAGGGAGCTACAGGTGTGGGCGAGGGGATAATGGTAAGAACCAATTAGTAAGCTATATGTATTTGAAAGGAGAAAATGACGAATTTTTTAGTTAAAACAGTATGCCTCAGGATTCATGCCAATTTTCATAAAAAATGAAATTGTTCTAAAAGGCAAAAATTTGCCTCAGAAACTAATAGATTTTTACTTTTTTGGCAAGGGATTACTTAA